AACACCTGAGGGCACCACCATCAGCACCAACACCTTAGGGCACCACTATCAGCACCAACACCTAAGGGTGCCACCATCAGCACCAACACCTGAGGGCACCACCATCAGCACCAACACCTGAGGGCCCCACCATCAGCACCAACACCTGAGGGCGCCACCATCAGCACCAACCACTGAGGGCACCACCATCAGCACCAACACCTGAGGGCACCACCATCAGCACCAACCACTGAGGGCACCACCATCAGCACCAACACCTGAGGGCCCCACCATCAGCACCAACCACTGAGGGCACCACCATCAGCACCAACACCTGAGGATCCCACCATCAGCACCAACCACTGAGGGCACCACTATCAGCACCAACACCTGAGGGCACCACCATCAGGCGTAAAAACATCTTAGGGTGCCACCACCAGTACGAGCACTGATTACGACCAGTGTGTAAATAGATCACATGAGAATAACCTTAGATTCAATGTAAGTTGTAACGCTAACAACCTCACTCGCATAACAGCATAAAAGCGTGCATACAGCACTGATGATTAGCAAAGCTTGACCCGGTAACCAAAGCAACACGGTCGTGTTGGTAGCACAAGGATGCAGCCTAAACGAGAACAAAATTTAACAATCTTACCTCCATGAATTCAACCTGCTTCGTCCAGTCGAACTAGACCTTGACCTGCGCTCTGCAGACATGTGCTCTGCATGCGCAGATCTGCTCAGCTGTTGATCAGCCACCTCCGCATACATGTGCCACGGCTGCACGGACACGGTGTGACATCGTTCAGCCGTCTCCGCAGACATGCGCCCTGCCTGCGGGGACACCGTAAGACATCGTTCAGCCCTCTCCGCAGACATGGGAACGTATCGTAGGTCACGGCTGTCCGCATGCGTCACCGCCTGCTCCCATAAGTCCGGGGTCGAGTCCGCCGCGTCGTCGTCCAACCGCTCCTCGCCGTAGACACTGTCGTCGTCGTCCACTTCCATCACTGCTTCAGCCTCGTCCGTGCTGCTGCCCTGCCGCCGACGACCGGCCGACACATCGTGCGGCGAGGGTTGGCGGTCTGCGCGTGCGTCGCATGTGACGGCAGCGCTCACAACCTTCTGCCTGACAGCAGTACTATTGCATGCGTCCTCCACATTAACAGTAGCAGTCGAACCTTGCTGATCAGGGGGTGTCTGAGAGGCAGCAGCAGTCAGATTCTGCTGATCAGAAGGTGCCTGAAAGGCATTATCAGTCAGATCCTGCTGAACGGGGGATGCCTGCGAGACATTCTTGCTCTCAGTGAGCTGGTGGTCGGCAGAAGATGGGTTTGCGCGATCGTCCCACACACAGCGGTCATCCTTGGAATTAAGACGGCAGCCGCTGCTGACGCTTGATGCGTCACACCCACTCTCGTTGCTGTTTCCGCCATTGTGCAGCTCACTCTCACACGGCGATCCCTCGCTCTTTACAACATCATGCAACGATCCCTCGCTCCCGCACCGCGGCGATCCCTCGCTCCCGCACCGCGACGATCCCTCGCTCCCGCACCGCGACGATCCCTCGCTCCCGCACCGTGGCGACCCCTCGCTTCCGCACCGCGGCGACCCCTCGATCGTCACTTGCGTCGATCCATCTATCTTCCCTTGCATCGATCCTTCGATCTTCACTTGCGTCGATCCCTCCATCTTCACTTGTGTCGGCGGCTGACAAGGCTGCGCGATCACGCGTTGCCGCGGCGACGATGACGGCCGATCCCGCGATCGGTAGCGGCTGGATCGCGTGAAGCAGGTCTGATAGCCGGGCAGCCTGTTGTGAAGGCTGCTAGCGTCCTCGTCTCCGGACGCCTCCACGCGACCCAGCATCCCCATCGGCATCGCGTCGGCGGCGACGATGCCGGTCGCCATGGCGACGGACGTCGGGTTGTGCCGCGTCAGCAGCCGGCTCAGCTCCACGCCCACGTAGTCCGGCAGACGGTTGTGCGTCCCCGCGTCGTCGTCGGCCGCCGCCGCGTCCTCGCGTGGCGCCCCCTGGCGGCAACCCTCCTTCTCGCCGCCCCTCCGGCTCCTCTTCGACGCGGCTCGACCGTGCCTTCCCCCGCCTCCTCCGCTGCCGCCGTCGGCCATCTTTCGCTCGGCCATGCGTACGATATCCTGCAGGGTTCGCGCGATCTTCGCGCTCGTCGGCTCGGGCGCCGGCTCGCCGTTCGCCGCCACGCGAGGGCGCCGCTGTGCAGGCAGCGCGTCGTCGTCGGGCGCGGCGGGCGATGCGCAGTAATCGTGATCCATCGCCCATGCCGGCTCCACCTGTCTGAGCTTTATCGACCTGCTCAGCGGCACGTAGGGCGCGACGGGTTCGCTGCACACCAGGTGGCGCTGCCGCAGGGCCGTGTAGTGTTCCAGGGGGCGCCCGCGTTGGGCGCGCCGTGCCGGCAGCTCGCTGATCATGATCGCCGACTTGACCTTGTTAGACGCCTTGATCTTCTCAATGACCTCCCTCGGTGGCTCCCTCGGTGGCTCCCTCGGTGGCTCCCTCGGTGGCTCCCTCGGTGGCGAGGCAGGCGGCGTCGGACCTGAAACAAGATAGCATTCATCTTATAATGTCAGGTCAGCTTGCTGTTGTTTTGTACACCCGAATAGGGTCACATTTCGGTTAGAATCAACACTAGGCTTCATGTAATAATAGGATAATATCATGTATGTTATCATATGTATCGTATCGTATCGTATCGTATCGTATATATTATCGTATGTTATCATAACATACGCACCGACAGGTTCGATCGCTGGCTTCCCATCTCTCATACTATCGTGAGACCTCGTCGTCTCTTCAGCCTTGCTGGCCGCAACATCCGAAACCTCCGCGGATGCAGGTGGCGACACTGCTGACGCAGGGGGAGCCACCGCTGTGCTCAGCACGGTTTCGATGGCTCCGTCTTGGCAGAAATCCCTGGTAATGCATCAGCGTGAATTAATGGAGCTATACTTGTGTGCTTAAAACATTAGCCAACTCACTTCAGTTAACACACTTACGTGTACCTGTCATTAGCTGGCAGTTTTTCGTGGCAAGCACGCTTACATGTGTTTTATCAATAGCTAGAACACATAGTTTTCCATTAACTAGCAAACTTATATAGTTTTTCATTAGCTAATATACCTAAATGCAGTTTGTCATTAGCTAACACACCTATATAGTTTGTCATTAGCTAACACCTATATAGTTTGTCATTAGCTAACACCTATATAGTTTTGAGTGAGCACACGCACACATGTATAGCTTTACCTTAGCTAGTATGCTTACATGTATTTATCGGGCGAGGCAACGGGGGTGAGGTCTTGGAACGTGTTCGGTTCGTGTTCACTCACGTGGCTGGACCACGTATCCACCGTCAGTGGCGGCAGCGGCGCCACGAAACACATGTCTATCACGGCGCCCTCTCTGCCAGCACAAGTCATTGATGACGACAATGCCGGGGGCGGCAGGTCTGAAAGCAGAAGGATCGAGCAATAGATGAATACACATAGACACGGCAAGACATCAGAACACAGCAGAGCGACAACACGGATCTCATGCATCTCCTCCCAAGTTACGCTTATATCACACTTATAAGAATTTCTGCCTATAATAGTGACGTTATATGCGTCAACAACCAATCAAATTCACTTTCAGACACAGGTCGTCCGAACGTGACAATGTTAAATGACACAATCAATTAATCGCCTATTAATCATGCGTATATGCGCAGACTTTTTCTACTGCAGTTGATTCTGCAATGCTTATAGAACGTTTACTAACATGAGTATTAATGCTAATTAACTAACTCGTTAACTAGGGAAATTACTCGACGGTAACTAGGAAAACGCACTCACCATCGCTCTGCTGCTCAAACTGTTCTAGTAGGCTTGTCAGATCACCGGCTTCTATTCCTGCAGGAAGCAAACAGACATAAAAACATGTGAGTGTCAGTGAATGAAACCCCGTGAGCCACAGTGAGTAAGTAAGACAGAGGCAGAAGGAAAGAGGCAGAAGGAGGATGGAGAGAAAGAGAGCGAGGGAGGTTCCTAGCATGCAGCTCATGGCTTCATGTCAGATCACCCGTACAGCCGACTACTCATCAGCAGTACATAGGCACAGAAACGAAAACTGTGGGACTGTGGAGGCATTTTCCGCCTCGTTAACTGCATCACGTGCCAGTGTATTCATAAAATTCAACAAACAGTCAATGAGTCAGGTTTAAAACGAATACACAAAACAAAAAGCTCGTGAATGTTTTCATCCCTGCATGATGACAGAGGGGACAAGGTGGCCTTAAATATACGTAAACACGCTTTCTCCACATTCCACTCAAGTACCATACTGTACCACATGAAGAAATATTTGTACCGGTATGTATACACATAAAACACCAGTACAGATAAACAAGGGTACAAAAACCAAGAAAACATAGATAACCTACAATCCGCTGAAAACCTCCCTGACAAAAAAAACAAGAACTAGCTCGTTGGTGACATTAGAGGGTAATATTATGATTACTTCAACATACAAATTATCAGGAGTTTGTACAGTTATACTATAGCTCCAAAACAGTAAATGAACAGCGAACGTGTACCCGCTTTCTTGAGATTCGCAAATTAAATGGCTTTTCCAAACTGTCCCACAAAACATGTGCACGTAGTTACGTGACGTGAGTTTCTATAGACTGGTATCTATCTCGCTACGTAGACAAAGGTAACATATTGTAGCTCTAGACAGGGTATCGATCAATGTCATTTCGCAAGATTAAAAATCACACACTAGTTTTTTTTTGCATTTATAGTAAACAAATGAAGATCGGTGCACATATTGGTAAAAGGAATGATGTACGAGTGTTCTATGACACGCTAGCCTTAATACACTTGGTGTTGCGCAAGGAATACCAGTAAATATTAGAAAGGTCAAGAAAATGGGAAAACGAGAAAAAAACATGAGAAATCCTCGCTGTAAATACCTATGTCGAACGAGATGCTGGACAGCTTAACACGACGCTGACCGGCGGTCGAATTGGCTGCCGTCTCAAGCTTGTCGGTTCTGCCCTCTGCCAGGTGCTTCTGCCAACTCTCCCACAGAGCATGAGCCTCAGTCTCTCCCGCGCTGTCCATTGCATGACTCTATAGAAACACGAGGCAAGAAAATTGTTCACCCTCGTCACAAACATCTTGTCTCGTCGTGAACGCTACTGTAATACCGTGATTTCTTCGTTTTTCGAAGTTACACGAGTTTAGGTATTGGGCCAGCCCTGGAGGCAGATTAGCCCTGTACGGTTAAGAATTGACCCTGCAGTTATAATTGCATGTTATACAAACATATAACATCAGAGGTAAGTAATCTAAAAGAGATCTCGTTTGAGATTATTTACCCCAGATAACATTGAATTACGTCGTGGTTAACTCTGGGAAGTTGTACTCAACACTTCTGTATGCACAAGTTTCGATATCCTAGAATAATGATAACTAGTGGCAAATATATGTTTGGATGGTTTTGACAACGAGTCTCCAATCATTCTGAGAATTACCTTTCTCAGCACATCAGAACTTTAAACGCATTTAAAAAAAGCTAAAATGTGACCCCAATCTGATGGACAGTTAGTGTCCAAGTGCCATTTAAAATTTACAACGATTGTATACAGCATAAACAGTTAGGAAACATGAGTTTACTGTAAACGTCACGACTGACTATATATATATACACGAGCGTGCAAAACCCAATACATGTACTCTTGGAAAATATTCTAGAACAAAAACGTTACAAGTTGGTCTGACCTTCCTTTCACATCAGAACCTATGTACATGAGCACTGTACAACTACGCATATTCACACATATACATGTGCAAACACCGACAGATATTGACATTGCAATAAAGAGACTTATATTCCAGCTGTAAAAATTCCAACAAAACGAAGAACATGCTTGCACAGGTACTTATACATATATATACATGTATGCAGTACATGTATGCAGACAGTTGAATAACATGCTTCATAGTTTGGCACCAGTGAAACTAGTGAAACCCTACTAGTAATTATTGTGCAGCTTATTTTTTACAGTAAATCAAACTCACAATATCTGTCTAGCATATCTATTTCTAAAGCATGACAAGATAATTATACAAATATACATTAGATCCTGTCCAGTATATACGAATCAGGGTTCTGCCCAGGATTTTTTAGTGCCGGGCACATCCACTTGCGACAGCGTCGCAAGATGCAAGCGCCGTAGGCGCGAAGCCAATCTAGGGGGTTCCGGAGGCATGCCCCCCCAGAAAATTTTTGATAGTCTGAGACTCAATTTCCTGCATTCTGAGCAATAAAAAGCCCATATATCAGACTTTTTTTCTTTTTTTTTATATCGAAAATTAGTGCCGGGCGGCAACCGCGAGTGCCGAGCACACCCGCCCACCGCCGCCCACCGTGGGCAGAACCCTGACGAATATTGTCCAGTCTGTCCATACTGTCCAATTTGACATGTGCAACCAAAGATGCACATGAGAAGGTTCAATTCAAATGAAGTCATGCAAACTGAAACTACCACACTTAAAATTCCCGCACATCCTCCCCAACGACCTACTGCAATATTTATCACATACTTCATACATCATTTATTCTTGCAAGATTGCCTAGAGTGTTACATTAATCATTTTGTATGCAATTAACGTTTTACTGTCATCGTTTCGTCTTTCAAACCTAGATTGAAACAACATCCTCTCCTGCTATGTTATCTACAACTAGCATGCAATACGACGCTTTGTAGAGCGGCATACCTGGAAGCCAGCAAGGCTATCCATAGCCAGGTTTCTCTAGCACTGAAATGCATACAGGTAGCACACGTTACACCTGCTATCAATGCCCATAACCTTCGTGTACAACTCTAGCTACAACATGTTACACTGTACCTAACATGCCACGACGTCAATGTGTCCATGTCACAGTCAAACGAGTATATAACGGTCACTCAAGAGAAATGCCAAGCGTGCTTTACAATCGAGTATCCATTATACAGGGGTGATGGCTAACACAGGGTTGAGTGTACATGGCTCTGCATATATATACATGTATACATCTATAACCAAGACATGCTGATCTCAATCATGTTCGTTTATACATCTAAGTCAGTGCTTCTTAAACTGTTTCAGTGTCATTCACCCGCAACTAAATTTCCTTATGTTTTAGGTAATTTTGCCTACGTTTCATTCACCTCAAAATAATTTCATTGACCCTTGGGTGAACCATTCACTAGTTTAAGAAGCACTCAACTAAGTAGTGGACAGTTAATGCCAGCTTACCGTGCGGCTGTGTGCATCGAATACACCAGACACACCCTGCAAGCAATGAAATATCATCACTTAATTACCATACAAAGCATCAGTTACGCAAATACGTAAACCCAGTGAAAACAATCTGCTATTCCAACACGAGGTCTAATATCTGATATTATCATAACATATCTTCAAAAATACCCCCTCGTAAATTTCTTAAACAGGGCATTTTAATAATAAAATAACAATTATCGTAATAGTAATAGAATCTACTCCCAGGGTAACGTTTTGAGCCATCACATCAAGAAGAGCAACCACCGCACATTTGCGTTGCAGAGGCCAGTGGTGAAATTTGATCCGTGCTACAGAATACTATAGGAGTGCCAGCTAGAATGTTCTCTATAGCACAGACACCCACCCATGTGGCACACTCATCACTAAATGCACAGCAACTGTTGTAGAGTATTTCGCACCTAGTCTCCTCTCATGAGACCTACCCCCACTCAGTCAGACACAGGACCTGACACCAGCCAGCCAGCCAGGCAGCATGCTGACCGATTACTTAGACATTAGGCTAGAGTAATTAACCCACTACAGCAGTGTGAGATCATGCTGGTGTACCTCTGAAACATGCAAAACCTGGTCCAGCATGTCACCACATGGCTGCAGGGCATTTTCGTTGCTTTAAAAATATGTGTTGACTATCCACTCTTCTCTCTCCAGTACTTACAAAATCACGCTTGGTGTTTACCAGCACCTCCTTCATAACACATTCAGTAACTCTACCTCTGTATAGCAACTCAGCAACTCTTACTCACGTCGGCAATAGAACACTGCACGTATGACGAAGTCATTTATCACAGCGCACATAGAAACGAACATTATGAGCCGAAAACGATACCAGGTCCTGACTGTACATGAACGACTAAAACACGCAAAATGCACGTACATTAACGCCCAGCTAACACACAGCTATGCTCGGCCCATACTGGTTGGTTACCTGGCAGTCGGTGGATGAGAACTTTTGTAAGTGTTGATCGACGGCTGCCGAGATGTCGAGGTAACAGCCGAGCGTCTCCGAATCTTCCAGGAGCTCCATTTGAGATGCTGCAGAGTAGATTCCTGTCAACTCCCTCCTGCAATGACAGCAATGTGAAGACATAATACAACGATAAAACCTGTTGACGGTCACACCGAAATGCGGAACGCGGCACATATATTAAAAAGATTTTCACGGTGATTTATTATTTCATGTATAGTAAACAATCGAGTTATTATCAATTTTATGCTACAGAGATAGAGAATCGAGATAGTCGGATGTAAACTTTCTAGATGTGGTTCTTCCCACTAGTGAAGAATGACGTGGAGTTGTTTAATGATATTCAAGAGAATAAATTATATAATATAGGGTAGACAGCCACATTAGTTTCACTTTAATATTGAATTCAATTAAACTTCATATTTAGGTCAGGGTCGCAGTATAGATTGTACATGAGCAGGTATTTCCTAGTAGCTTGAAAACGGTACATATGAGTGTGGGGATGTACATTTCAATTTTGTTTATCTTGACCAGCAGTTTTTATTCACTGGTAAAGAAATAAAATGTACAAAAAAAAGACATGTGAGGTTGTGTCTAAACGAACTCTCTGCAAACTCTACGAGTGTCTACATCTGGGAGAAACTGGACACATTTGCCAACATGTTTTAATGACAGCAACCAACATTACGAATCCTCAGCAGTCAGTGACAGTACAGTCTGACAGTACTACATTACCTAGTCTCTATATGGCCTTCACTAAAGTAAACTTTAAAGAACGCAGTGGCTGGAGTTACAGCAGCCATCGTTCGTTGAAGCCCCTTTTTGGCGTTAGGGTTAAGGTTAGGGTTCTAGCTTATCTAAACTCTCAAATCGTGAATTTATTTCCCAAGGCGTTATTTCAAAATCTGGCGCCACCCGCCGCCATCCTTGTCTCGTTAAGTATGAAAACGAATGGACTGCCGTACCTCCAGCCTCGAGACATTAAGATACGGCTGCCGTACCCCGTAGCCACAGCGTTTAAAGAAGGGTCGACCGTCCAGTTTTTTAAACCAGCATAAGTAAAATTCAAGGAAATTCATCCTACACTTACTACTACTAGGGCTCAGGTTTACTTCGAGACCCTACATACATAATTATCATCACCAACGTCATCGTGACACCATCACAAAATAACCAGCAATAGGCCTACATCATCGTGGACTAGGGGGCCCTCATGACTCATCATGATTTGTCATTTGGTGAACCTTGGCTTAACTTAGTAAACACGTGGTCCAATTTACTACACAGGAAAGCTACATCGAAACAGTATGAACGAGAAAATACTTATCATATCGTGTTTCGATATGTTAAATTGTTAAAAACCCGATCAAGGACTAGCTGACATATGTTTCGGCTTACTTTTCCTTCGCCGCATTTTTAAAGGCGTGTTCAGTATTGCCACCATGCCGAATCGGCCTCCAAAATGCACCGTCTTACCATGTCGGTTTACATACTATTGTAGAAATTTTTATAACATGCGTTTACAAAATTAACAAACCTGAACAATCTTCTTTACTCTTCAGCTAAAAATCGACAGTATCGCTACACAGAAACTGTGAAATTTGACATTGTTGTCTTTCCACGACAATAACTAGAATAACCACATGTCTTGCACGTCACGGTGCAATCGCAATATGGCGTGCAACCTTATAACCAAGAGAGCATTTTTCTCGCGCGAACCGGTTGCCGTCCGCACAGGCACAGACGGCCATAAACTGCTAACTACCGCTGTCATGGTATTATATGATTCCTATGCTGAGAACGTCTACGTATATAGACGTGCAAGCATGTAGTATGTTGAGAAAACAATATATCATGCATGTCATGGAACTACTATAGTGTTTTAAATATATGGCACAAACTGAAACAAATCCACCCCGCACATGATAATTTATAACATAGCATACCTTCTATCTCTTTCTCACGTTCTCTCTCTCTATCTCTCTCTCCTAAGTGGTGCCTTGGGCAGCTTATTAAAACACTAGAAAAATTAAGCAGGAAAAAGTGCCCTTTATTTCTTCCTGGACACCCCTTTTTTTTAAATCCTGGATCCGCCTCTCTCTCTCTCTCTCTCTCAGTCCATATCGTTCTTACGCTCTTCACGATCATCTCCTCTCTTGCATTCTGAACAAATCGTAACATCAAGCACTCTCTACTCGTCTCTAATCCAGTCTTACGTCACTCCTCTGTCGTCGCGAATCGGTTGGAACGCACTCGCTCTCTCTCTCTCTCTCTCTCTCTTATCCCTCTTCTCTCTCTCTCTCTCTCTACTCTATCACCTCGATCTTGTCATTACCTCCTCGACTCTACTCGGTCTAGTCCTCTGCCGCTATCTCTCCTCTCTCTTTCTTTCTCTCATCTCTCATCTCTCTCCTCTCTCTCTCTCTCTTCTCTCTCTAGTTCCTCGCGCTCGTTTCGTCGAATTCGCGTACTAACATTCCCCTGTGATAGACCTTTTTCCTCTGCGCTCTCTCCTGTCGTTCGAGCAATGAAGGGGTACGCCACACATTGGGAGTTAACACTGCATCCTATCCATATGCAACGCACACACCCGTTACACCAACTTGACACTGATCTTCGTTTCGCATCTCGAACAAATATGTTCACGCCATGTCTTCTCCAGACACTTTTGTGTTGCAGATGCTATTTAAGCTATGTGAATTTAATACTGCTAGAATAGGTCTATGTACCGTAGCCTGTTTTGTGATCTAACTCTAAGAAAAATAGCTTAAACCATAAAGAATGAGTAAATTTTTTGACAGCCTAAATATACCATTTAAGTTTGCAGCCGTGCCAATCGCTCAATTTAAGCAATGATCTTATTGTCCTCATCTAGGTTGTGGGAATTATACTAATTATGTACAATAGCGCGTCGTTTAAGTCTTCCCATATTTGGGAGTTAAATACTGTGTGTTACTGATTATGTTGTAGGGCATCCCATTATGATATATTGTGGCTATCAATACATCCTCAAGATATTCTTGTCATTTTCTAGTGGGCAGGCACAACGCTGTTTCTGCAAAACCACGGTTCGCTATTGTAATGAGTGATCTTTTCCTGAAATTGGTGCTGTTTCTGAAAGGGTCATTTGCTGGGAAAAATTATATTAGATTGTTGGACCACGTGATAGGTCTCATACGTAGGTTGCGTCCAGCATTTGATTGCTGGTGCACCTTATTTTATCAAAAACGTTTTTTCAAATATTAGGAAATCAGTGAGTCCCAGAAATGCACAGATTTCATGATCCAGGTGTTATTTAATCGTTCTACAGACAAAGTATTTTCCATGTATTTGCATTAAAAAACCCTCTTTATCATTTTTGTGACGGGCATTGCTTGCAGCACACCGGTCGTATATGAACGTGTGGGTATCCTCACTTCGGCTGAGAAATTAACATTTTTATGAAGTCGGCGGTGCTGTCTCACATATGTTGCAGAGTGATGCTGTATACTAGCCTTATTAACTAAGCCAGTTTAAAACATTACATAACACTTGGTAGTTTGTTTATTTCTTGTTAACGTTACCTGGAGATTTTTAGCTGCGCCCTTGACACTCGTCCAAGAGGTGAGCTAGTTGCCATGGGGTGTCGTCCGTTGTACTCCGTCCGTCGTCCGCCGTCTGTTCGTCCGTCTCGTCCGTCCGTCAACAATTTGCAAGCGGTCAACGATAACTCAAAGAACCGTTCGATCCCACATGTTTCAAATTGCATGCAGTTGTTTCTCCTATGGGAGAGGTTTGAATTAACCGTCCCTGACTTTAATCTCGCAGAGAGCAACATAAGCCAGATCACGAGCTTAACCATGACTTTCGAGTCCATGTCCAACTTCTCTATTATTGCTATAAAAAGGTGAAATTATGACCATAAGTCAATTCAAGATGTAAAACTTCAGTACATTATTGCTCTAAATTCTAAGAATGCTGAAAGGATTAAAGACCATCCCCTTGATGACGCACTAAAGACAAACAATATCTACAACCCACGAAAGTTTTATTTGGCTCACCTATCGTCATCTTTTAAATATGCAAATTGAGCTAGAGAATTGATAGCTTATTGGTGGTACCAAATTTCAGCTATGCCGCTTATTATTCTAAGTGTCTGCTCCCTGACGTGCGCTCCGAACTTGCAAATACAACACATGCAAAATGCTTAAGAGTTATTAAATCTATCAGAAACCTGCGTTGTTGTATTGCAATCTAATCACATGGTCGTTCAAGATAGGAGATGACACATTATGTTACCTAGGAGATTACCTAGTGGGAAGAGAAATTTGAGCCAACTTACACCTAATTATAGAGGAGCAGCGCAGTCCAGCAAACCACGTACTTTCTGTTTTATCGAGCCTACTGTCTACACGTATGGTACTTTACATTGTAACATAAAAAGTGTGGATGGAACTATATACACGTATATAATGACTAGGGTTATGTATAGGGGCGGTGATATATATGAGTGAGTATATACATAGGGAGATAATAGTATAGCTTGGAGTGCTCTCTGTGATGTTGTGTCGTGTGACTGTTGTACTATGTGGTGTTTGTAGTGACAAGGGTTTAGCTGACTTACTGTTTGGTCTGTATTGTGTGACACGGGGTGCAGTGGTTATCAGAGCATTAGTGCGGACTGACCACGTGGTCTTGGATTCGTGGGCGTCGCGTGAGCCTTGTAGCAGTGAGAGTAGGAAGCCGTACATTGCCTTGGCTGATGCGTATGTCCGTGTTCAGCATGCGGTCAGTGTATGCAATTGATTGCATTGTGTGTGTGTTACGCTGGTGATAGCTGATGCTTGTCTGTGTTGAGTGTTGTTGTGTGTTTGTTGTATCAGTTAATTAACTAGGATAACAGATATCGACACTGCTTTACATCGCGCGGTTCCGGTACAGCTGGAGAGGACAAGATTTAGAAAAAGTAACGACCGAAACACAAACGAAACCATGAAACACTCTGACCATTTGTTCTTGTTCGTACTTGTTGCTAAGAACAGTCATTAAATATCTGGTTCTTGACGAGACAGTAGTGAGAGCTCTACAACTAAGGACTGCTCCATCTTACGTGAATGTCTCTGATCTAGCAATAACAAATTACATAAAACCAGACCTCAGGATCAACTGTCTTCTGGCTATTTATAGTGGACTTGTGATTCTTGCAAAGAGCAATTAACTAACTTTACACATTGTCTCTAATGTCAACCAGATTTATATTGCAGACAATTACTGCGTGTTCAAACTTTGAGAGCATCACGGGTGGTCTGTGTAAACGGTGCTTAACAATGGGCGCACTTGGTCATTTACAAAAGGGAGATAACACTACACGTTGGTCGTTGGTACCTTGGGTTACTTTCTTTGGTGATATTATTACAGGCCACATACTGAACTGCAAATTTTCTGCCTAAAACAGACAGTAAGACCAATGGCAAGGAAGCTAACATCAAAGTCTGTCGCCCGTGGTCCAGCTTAGTAAGCCTGCTAAGCAATTATCTGATGGCTTTCTTGTGGTTAAGTTTTACTGAACCACATAGTATTAATAAGTCACAAGGGACGGATAAAGTAACTTTTACATGGTGCTGTATGTTTGTACGATGTATTTACAGGGAGGATAGTGACTCGAACGACGTGTCTGGTGGATGTTTGAGCCGATGAAATTATGCATGCAGATTATAAACACTTACCCAAAATCACTCTGCTCGGTCTGTATCGTGCATAGGCTTATTTCGACACTGTATACGCACATCACACACACTTAGAGACGAACATCAAATCTATAAACTACAAGTCCTGTTGCAGCCCTGGTTGTGTTGCACGCTAACGTAAAACTTGGTCACTAAAAAATAATCATGGGTAATAAACTGTTGACCATAAAGGATTCAAATGTCGATATGTCAAATGTCAAAGCCTCCTTACCTCTTACCTCTACCCCCTACCGCTAACCCTGACCCTGCCGCCCTAACCTCTAACTCTGACCGCTAAGCTTAGCGGGCGCCTGCCACTCACTGTTCTTATTTCGGTACTGTTATCACTGGAGACTAAGCTGGACTCCATACAAAAGGTGTCGGTGGTACGATTTGGTTATTACATAGATTACACTACATTGTGCTTCAAGTGAATGTTCTGCTTAAACCAGGGAGTGTCACCACACTGCAGATACTGACTTTACACAGATTCTGAGTTTGTGCGGTGATAATGAATTATTAACAGAAGGATTACGATTAGAGACTTGTACATGGGGTCGAAATAGTAAATGATATATTGACATATTTGTAGTAGAAAAAGGATATATACTTATCTTAGCGACCTAGACAACCTATGTGGATCAATATACTGGGGCAGGCATAGTACCCATTAAGCGAAGGCGCGTGCGAGCGCAACGATGTGAAACAGTGGGCGGCTGGAATATGCGTGTGCCACACCTACATTCTACCATTAAAACAGAGCTTCTTCATTCAGAACGACCCTCATGGCGCGATTCTTAAGGGAAATAATATATCAGAAACCGCTAAAGTCCAGCAGCTAAATAGACAAAGTGGGGCACGTAGCTTTCGGTGGACTAGACGGATTGAGCACAAATCTAACCAACGTCACTGTGAAGAAGTATAGATTATTACTGTTACACAGCTACAGGGATATACCTGAAAGTTA